ATCTCATCCAGAAAATAATAATAAAATACATGGAAATTACTTTATAAAAAAATCTCCTGCTATATGTATTTTTTATCGAACAATAAAATACCTGGAATTAAATATAAAAAAAACAATATTATTCTATACTTATATTGTATTGAACAATAAAATGGAATTAAAGAAACAATATATTCTAAATTTAATTTTTTATCTAAATAACAACAAGCAACCCTTAATTGGCTTAGCACCCAATTATATAAAAACTGCCCTTACATATTACGCAATTATATTACAATAGTATATATATTTATGTTCCATTCGTTTCAGGTGTGATGGCTATAATGATCCCATATCCTAGTCCTTGTGCCTAGGCTTAGGCAACAGGGAGAAAAGGAAAATGTACCCTTTGCAAATTTGCAAATTCTGTTATTTATAACTCAGTTATTTGTATGAGGCTTAGGGCTAGGCGCTTAATATCACGTTTAAATTCTCTCGCTTCAAACTGTAGGGGCCATATTGGACGCCATTTTAGCTTATCTGCCTTTTCTAAAGAGTAGACATTCACATTTTAAAAAATCACTGTGAACATTCACATTGTACAAAATCACTATCCAAACTATTAGTTTGCTTCAAAATCAATAATAAAACATCCCCTTTCTTCAGAAAAAAAGTGTAAAACAAGGTTACACTCTATCGCCACTTTTGTTTAATATCATAATAAATAAAATCATAAAAGAAGTATTAGGTGCGACCGATCATAGGGTTAAACGAGTCAATATTTCAGAAAATAGAATAATATCATAAGCAGATGACATCATTGTGAACCAAAAATATAGAAGAAACCAAAAACTTACTATATCTAATATAAACCTTAAGTCATAGAGTTAAACTATGATAAATTTTAACAAAACAGTTATTCTCCCCTCCCCAAGCTGCAGCGCTCTAAAATTTTATGGTTGGAGCTAACGCAATAAATTAGTAAGCAAAATGAAGTACATAGGGGTCACTCTTGATAAAAAAGGTAGTTGCAAAGAAGAAATATTAGAACAATTATAAAACAACTATTCCCGCTTCCTTTCCAATCTCAGCACCCCCCTATCGTAAGTCGCTACCTTATTCATCTTATCGCTTTACTACATGCATATTTTTCCCCAATTACAAAAAAAAAATTATTTAAACAAAAAATTTTGTTACAATATATAAATATTTTTTCTTTCTACACAAAAATTCTCTATTTTTTTTTTCTCGCAGTTATCATAATAAAAATCTGATCCAAGTTCTTATTCATTTTTAAAGGGCCTTTATAAATATTTATTCACGTTTTACCGGTATATTTATTACAAATAATGATTATTAATATTAACTAAAAAAATTTACACACTTCTTTATTGCTTTCTATGTATATATATATATAAATTAAACTTACCTTAATTCATTTTATATATTACTTAAATAAAAAACTCTTATAAACCCCCAAATTTATCTCCTTTTCCCACTGCCCCCCAAAAACAATATATTTCGATACAAGTTTTTGAATATATAATTTTATTTTCTTTCCTTACCCGAGTCTCAGATCTCGTTAAGTTTCTAAAAAAATACTCTTCAAATAAAATACATAAAATAAGTGCAAATAAGATAAGATTTAAAATTTACTAAAGTATATAATTATATAAATATTTAAAACTTTTTAAAAAATACATAGCCCATCTTGATGAGAAAAACCCGTTGGTTTTTAGATGACCTTGAAAAAAAAATCTCTGGGTCATTCACTGTTCTTTCACCTATGTTCCCCACTTGCCTCATCTAACCTGGTTCTATTCTCTTCATCTGGCCAGTGTCGAACCCCCATTCCGTCATTTGGAAATCTGATATAGCCTAACATATTCATTTTCTGATCCTCCCTCCCCAAATCACATTGAGCCATTTTTTCAACTCAGGCAATTTTTCTCAACCGGCCTCCCAAAACACATTGAGGAGTTTTTATCAATCGGCCCCAAAACCACATTGGCCATTTTCTCCAACAAACCACCAATATCCCACACCAGCGTCTACATGACAGGATTTTCACTGGATACAGACCCCCTTCAAAAACCTTTGCCTACCCCCCTAAAAAATATTATTATTTTTTACCTTATTTATTGATACTCTTTTCAAAGAATTTATAAAGGGTAACTTAAATTAATCTATATCTACTACCAACTATCTATATTTTGTGATTATAAATAATTTATTTTTTAGATAATAAATTCAATTAAAACTTCCATTATTTACAATGAATTAGTTATTATGGCATTATGAGCTTGCTAAAATATCTAAACCTTTTAAATTACATTTAAAAGGATAGTTTATTTGGAAAACAATGTGTATGATTGTTTGCAATATATAGATTTGGTCGATGAATTGTATTATAATAATACTATAATAAAAGTATAATTTTTACAGCAATAAATTTTGTCCTATTTCATCTCAAAATTAGATAACCCCCCAAAAAATTTATCCTACCCCCAATAAAGCAGCTTACCTCCTACCCTCTCAAAAAAATAAGATGCAAACTGTTCCTACCCCTCCCGCTCATGTAGACGCTGCCCCACACTCATAATCGTCAACCGGCTCCTCAAACACCATGGGCCATTCTCACCGCCACCCTATACTGTTATACTCACCAGGACAAAATGTTGAACTATCACCATTGTGGCCATACTCAAAACATTTAACATCCTTTCATTCTACAACGCTCTGCCAACTTATCCCACATCTATAACACTTATTCTATTCCTCTAGCCTTTCGCAGCAAACGACCGTGTCGATTCCCTATGCCTTCGATTCTATCCTATCCTCACCGATTCGCAAGTTTATAATACTTATACACCCCTGCATTAACTTCTGCACCGTTAACCAGGTTACTCTTCCAAACTTACCTCCTGCCCGTTGTGTCCTTCAATCTATAACGTCCGCCCTCGTATTCGAATAATCCTATTTCGGCGCTCTCTTCTACCATTGCCCTTAGTATATTACATTGTACCTCCACATATTTAGTTAATTTAAAACCCTTCATTTAACTAACAAAATAATTAAAATAATTTTAAAAAAAATTTGCTATATAATTAATTAAGTCTATACAAAATGTTCTCAATAAAAACAATTTACCTAAAACAATGTCTATAAAAAATTAATAATTAACTTAACTAAAAATATTTTAACTACTTGTGGTGTTAAACAAAACGGCACTATCAAAAATTAAAACTTAAACAACGCAATAGTATATCCAAACCAACTGTGCTTATTTAAACTCTTAACTCAGCCACAGTATTCCATTGTACCTTTAACAACAATTTTATACCGCAGAATTCCCCTGTGCCTTTAACAACATATTTCACTCCACAGAACTTCACCTGTACCTTTAACAACAACTATTTTACTACGCAGAACTTCCTCTGTGACTTTAAGAACAACTATCACAGCTAACCCATTGTGCTCTTAACAAACGTTAAGTTTTTTTAACCTAAACAAATACAAATATAAGAATAACATATATCTTGATCGGTCACAGCACCAAACTATTGGTTGTCCGCGGAGAATTATTTTTTTTTATCAAACGTCCGAAAATAATTTTTTATTAAAATAAAATGAAATAAATAATGATCATGTATTGCCTAATCGGCATATCTAAAAACAAAATAAATAATTATCTAAAATAGAATATCATGACTCATGCTGAGTCTTACAAATTATACAATTCAAATTCAAATACTTGGGCCGTTGGTACACGGCTAAATTATTATGCATAAAAAACAATAATAAATAAAAAATATATTCAATAAAATAAAGAAAAGCAACAATTATAACAATACCAATCTTTGGAAAACGGCAAATAATATGCCAATAAACATTAAAGCCGAATTCAGTTTCCAGCCCACATAGTAAATAATTCTGAGCACAATCTAGTATATGATGTAATAACATGGCTTTATACATACAAAGGGAAACAGTACACAAAATACAAAGCGCTATGGTGTACTATAAAACTGTAAAACTATTAAAGATGTGATGGAATTAAATATGAAACAATTTATAAAACTAAATAACTGTAAGGGATAGATCAGTGGCGTAGCTACGAGGGTGGTTTTCGGGTTTGGACCCCTCCCAGAGCAAATTTTTTTTTAGATTATACGTTCAAAAGACTTAAAAGTGATTTTATATCAATATAATTTTCTGGTTTAGATGTTTGTGGAAGGATATTATATTACTATTGAAATTATTCTGGATAGTATTATTATAAAGTCATTGAGAATAATATACTAAATTAAAATAACATATTATTGATGCATGGCCGGGCAAAAGGGCCGAAGGCCCGTTAAAGGGGGTCTGGGGGCGAAGCCCCCAACTTTTATATGTATGGACCCCCTCTAAGGAAAATTCCTAGCTACACCACTGGGATAGATCAAAAAGTTATTCGTATCAAAAAGAGATACTTCAAATGAAAGCTCACAACCCAAAAACTCGCTCATCATATAACAAACAATATTATTATCAAATCTCTAGAAAATGTTACAAACTAAGACAAATTATAATAAAATTATAGAATTCAAGGGATGCGATCTATTAAATTCTTAATTTTTCATGGTAATCAATAAATCCTTCAATATATATAAAGTAATCAATTACAAAAAATCTTCTCAAAATTGATTTGTAATCAACTAGAATTCACACAAGAAATCTTAAACTTAAAATTATCCACTACCCCCACCCTTAGAGTAATTAAAATATACTGTAGTTTTTAAGTATAGGCGTTTAGCCCCACTCTTTTTTAAAGCCTATAAACTTAAGCAACATTTTGTTGCTTGTACAAGTACTTGCGATTTGCCTACAAACATGTAGAGGGCTCCTCATATTTTACTTTTCACCCAAATTAAATTAGTTCCTAGCATAGTTCTGTTGAACTTTCAATGTCAGAGGGCCAAAGCGCTATATACCACGTATAACGCAATGATATTGTTCTTTAAGTTTTACATGTCAGCTGATTGTCAACTTTTTCGATGTTTTAAGATAAAATTAAAATATTCATGAAAATGCTATTATTATTACTATTTTGTTATGTGCCACTTCCATTGATATGGAGTCATAATATAATGCCCATTGTATTATGGCATGGAATGGGTAATTAAAATTACTGAACTGGATTTCTATTTTATTTTAGGTGATACATGTTGTAATCCATTAACATTAGGATTTATAATTAAGATACTTAAAAATAAACTGAATGATGTGCATATATACTCAGTCAAAATGGGCCAAAGTTTCATAGAAGTATATTTTATTTATTTAAATATATGCAAATTTTAAGGACATGGAAGATGGATATTTTCTTGATGTGAATGAACAAGTATTTTTTTTATATTCCATATGTGCAAGTATATATGTTCTCTTTAAGATTAAAATTGTCTGTGATAAACTTAAAAATGATTCACGCTACAACAAAGGTTATAATGCCATAGGATTTTCTCAGGGTGGTCAATTTTTGTAAGCAATCTTCATAAATTTTCATTTCTAAATATTACATTTAAGGAGGGGATTGGCGCAAAGATGTCCACAGCCACCTATGCACAATCTTATTTCATTGGGTGGTCAACATCAAGGTTGATGGATTTATTTAAAATAATGTCTTACTTTGGTTCAATCCAATATTTTTTGACCAATCCAATCTATTATTGTTTTTTTTAATTACACAAATCTGATTCAAATTTTTTTAAGAAATAAGTATAATAAGCCATTTCATGTCAAAAAAGCCTGATTTTTGTAGGACCTATGAGTAGAGGCGTGCACTATGTTGTATTGTGATATGGAGCTCATTGGAATTTGGAATCCTTCAATTTTACATTGCTTAATAAGGGTTATTTTAAAGTATGAAAGTTGTGATTGACTGGAAATGTACTACAACATATAGAGTAGAGATCTGCAAAGTTAGGCTCAGCCTGTACCCGGCCTGAGTCCAGCCTGGCCCAAGGCTCGGGCCTAATTCTATTTAAAATAATCAAATTCGGGCCAGGTCAGGCCTAATATTTTTTAAAAAAATTTGGGCTGTGTCATGTTGGACCTTGAATTTTATTTTAAAAATATATCTAAATTTATCAATTTTATATTGAATCTTTTATAAAATAAAAATATTTGATTTTATTTATTGAAACTAAACGACATATAACATATGTCTTTTATTATGAGTAATTATAAAAATTAATTCTATATTTAAATAAATTTGGGCCAGGTCGGTAAATTTTTTTTAAAAAAAATTTCGGGTTCGGGCTGGGGCGGCAAAACTATTTTAAAAGAAATTTTTATTCGGGCTGGGCCGGCAAAACTTTTTTAAAAAAATTTTGTGCCAGGCTGGGCTTGAAAAATTAGGCCCAATTCAGATCACTAATATAGAGTACCTGCACTGTTAATTTCAGACAATTTTCCAAAAGCTTTTTAAATATTCTTAATTTATATATATTTTCCATATAAACTAAAAAATACACCAATTTTAAAGCAAAAATTATCTGATTTATAGGGTTGGTATTCTACCTGGAATATGTTTCCAAAAAATTTATATAGATGAAGCCCACTTTTAATAGATAAAAAAATATTAAAATTCAGTAAAATAATCTATAAAAAAAATAGAAAAGCCAATATAAAAAAAATATTTTGTCATCTCCCCTCAAAAAATGATCAATGAAAAATTCTGGGAATATATTTTATTATGAAAAGCATTTCAAACTGAAAATAAGAATTACTTTGTTAATTTTTTTTTCATTTTCATAATATAACTAACAATAAAAATATGTATGAATATTTTTCAACTATCTGTCATTTTAGGACATTATTTTGTGATTATTTAAACTGTTTTTTTATGTTAATGTTACTGTTAATTAGACTAGACTTAAAACAACTTTTAAAAATTAAACATGTTTACTGAACTTATTATTTTATAACTCATTGGTAACATGCCAAAAACAAAATATTTTACCTGATTTTATTCTTATAAAGTTTTAATTATTTTATTTTTACAAACTAAAGAAAGGCTTTTAATTTAGCAACAAATTTGTAAGCCGGCTTAATTCCTGCCATGTTGAATATGGCTTACTGTTTTTTTAATTAACCCAAAAAAACTTGTTATTTATATACTATGGCTATCAAGTTATATTTATTCTAATCTTTACTCTCTGTTATGGTTATTTTAGATATAGCTATTTCCTATTGACTACAGCTATTTGGCTAAAAGCATTTTCAGGGAATAATAGTTGAATAAGCTTTTTTCTAATCTTATATGTTATCACTTATTTTCAAACCCCATTGATGCTACTAATTCCCTGTTTGATTATATAATATAATATTTAATTTTGATTTAAATAAGAAGTTATTAACTTATTTATAAATCAAATAATAAAGGTGTTTATGGTCTTCCAAGATGCCCTGGTATAAAGTCGCTGTGCGACAAAGTAAGATACATCCTGAATACTATGGCTTACAGGGAATACGTCCAGAAACATTTGGTACAATCTCAATTTTGGCATGATCCCATGAATGAGACTCTGTATAAAGCGAATTCATCATTTTTGGGGGATATTAACCAAGAAAGGGTAAATTTGATTTGATATGTTTATTTCTTGGTGTCAGTAAATACTCACCTTACTGGAAAGTTATTTTTTGTAAGTAAGAGGATTTCACGAATAGGACTGGGGAAAGTGTATATAAATTTCATGATTTTTAAATTTGTATAAATAATTTATTTTTATCATGTGATTGATTTCATTAAAAGCACATTATATGGAGAACTAATATTATATATTTTTTAAAAAAATGGGCTTATATTTATTGCTTAAAATCATTTCTTTGTATAAACTATTTACTGAAACTGTTTGCATATGGTAATGAGTCTTATTATTATATACAAAAAAATAGTCATTCAATCCCTCTTACAAAGCTAATCTTATGAAATTAAACAAACTAGTCTTGATCAAGTTTCTAAAGGATAGCATAGTCATTCCTAGGGAGTCCGAATGGTTCGGTTTTTATAAACCTGGATCCAACACGATATTGATGAATATGAATCAAACCGACTTATATCAGAAGGTTTAATATATATTTTTTTTAAATTAACACTTTCACTGGCTTAATGGGGTAATCAATTTTTAGCCATTTGAAAATTCAACTCAACCTTAAAGGAAACATAGGAAAATTAACCCACTTGTCTCAATATTAGCCAGATTTTGTCCGGCACATGCCTGTAGACTTACTCGATTTTTTTTAACCATTACCTCTTAACTAATCAGGGGCTGTCTGTCTACTCTTTTTTTGAAGTTTCATCGAATGGTTAGGTATGTATATAATATTCAGAGATTTGCCGGCTGGGCTAGTAAACCCTGCCCGGAACTGGACATAAAATAATATGATGATCTTGAAAATTTGGGCCAGACTCAAAATTAAAAATCTAAGCCTGGCCGATATAAAGAAATTTTTTTAGAATTATATCAATTAGATAATATAATTAGTTGGCCTATTATTATACAAAATTGATGGAAAGAAAGAAATCAGGAAGCATGATTGACTTGAAAGAAGGCCTTTACAGTTAATTTTTATAGTATGTAATTTTAATATCAACCTGGACTGATTAAGGCCCACCAAATGGAATCTAGTTATTTTTCATCCCAAAACCAGTCTAGACCTGCAGCACCATATATTCTATTTTATATATATATTCTTAGGATCTGTTAGGGTTGAAGGAAATGCAAGATAATCAAAAGTTAGATCTATTATCCTATCCCGATGATCATTTGCGTTTCGACGTCAGATGGTTTGAACAGGCCATTATTTCGACATACCTCAATGTTGCAATATAATATAACAATTACAAATGGGCATATTTAAAACCACAAAGATATTTTTATCACAATTTCTGAATTAATGATATAACATTTAACCATTTTTAATATTTATATTATATATTTATTTATTTTTAACAATGCAATTAATTTATTTGGTTTTTAAATAATATATTTAATTGATTTGGCAATGTATTTATATTATGTAATCTCTACGAGGCAATGATCTCTATTTAAAATAAAAATTAACAATTATTTTTTTGTGAACATAGAAGAAGAAAATACAAATATTATTCAACAATTTTATAATCAATTAGCAAAAATGATTAAAATATTGTGGAAAATTTCTTGCATTTCTAATACGCGGAGGATATTTTACTTTACATATCTCGCAAAATAGGTTAAAAAGGAAGATGAAATTTGAAGATGTCAATTATTTTTAAACCTTAAATAATTCATTTTTAACCCTAGTCTTATTTAAATTCAGAATGAGTACGCTTAATTTTTCCTAATATAAATTTTTAAGTTTGGTTATTATATTGCATTGCTGTTAGATTTTAATATCAAATATTTGTAAAAATCACAAAATTTAACAAACAAGGGCAAAATATTAAGTCATCTTATCATGTTTAATATTGATGAATAAAACATTTATTCTTTAAACCAGATCATATCATGTTCCTTCCTTTGTGTTTACTATAGCCTTGCACAGGAATTTGAACCGAACCTGAACCCGGAGAAGTAAACCCGGGTTTTTGATAAAAAAATCTGAACCCGAACCGAACCTGAACCCCATTTATAAAATTTTTACAACCCCAAACCGAACCCAGGAATTTTTATGAACCCGGGTTCAAGCGGGTTCAGTGTATTGTTTAAAATCATATATTAAGATATTTGTATAATTGTAAATACAAATATTAATAATTTAATTGAGATTTTTTCAAAGATTCCTATTGGAGTGTTAAATAAATTTAAAGCAATTAAATACATTCACGCCATTTATTTTTAATTTTTAACTTAGTCTCAAAGATTACTAATTAAAGGAATGAACAAGTCAAAGTAAAAATTATTATATTGATTTATTTTTTGTTCAGATTAATTTTTAATATATATTAATAAAGTGTATATTATAACTGAAATTAAATTTATATATCTGTTTTTTAATTCTATGAAATCATTGCTCTTTAAAATTTAACCTCTTTAACTCTTTTATTTCAAGGTTTATGACTGTTTTGTATTTTTAAATGTATTTTGCCTATAAATAAAATAAAAAATTTATTTTTATACCAAATTTATGTCTAGTATTTTAATATCAATTCGAAAATTCTTAAACCCGAGCTGAACCCGGAACCAAACCCGGGTTCAAAAATATTTCCATAAACCGAACCCAAACCGAACCCAAACCGAACCCGGGGCTAAAATTTTGCCGGGTTCGCATCCCTGGCCTTGCGCGTCAAGAATAATTGACAGATGTAGATCCTCTATGTAATTATAAGTATATAAATTCTGTAATTAAGTTTTTTTTAAGAGATAGTAATTAAATATTTGGTGGCTCCTTGCGGAAAAAAAACCCGACCGATTTAAAAAAGGCGTCTTAAACCAAAATTCAAAATAGATAAATAATATAGATATGATGAAAATATTAATCGTTATAGTAGATTTGCATTTGGCAAGTTGTATTCACAGTTTAAATACTGATAAAATAAATACGAAATTGATTTAAAATTTTGCGATAAATATTATAATTATGGAACGAGTATTAAAATTAATAACACATCTGATTAAATTTAATATTTTTAAACTTTTCTAAATTATGATTTTTTTAAAAATATATTTGATTTGTGTACATTATATATAAATAAAAATATGGAATATTTAAATTTTTTAAGTTCACTGTGTATAGTTAAGGTAAAAAATCATTCATAGGTATTCAATATATTTATTCCAAACATGTCAAAGTATTATCATAAAATACTATGTCTACTCCTACCTTTTTAACATGACTACATTTAGTTAGTGATGTAACTACTCGATTTTTAGAAGCGTCTAACCCAATAATTTAGCCAAAAAATATTATGCAGGCTTGGAAATCTCATAGATGTCAGAAAGGTTTGGACTTCTGTTAACGAAATTTCGAGGCTAAAATCGGTTAAATCGAGCAGTTTAACAACAATACATATAGGCACCGGCTTAATAAAGTCATAATAAATAGGCATAAACTGAGTATGTGATATATTAATAGAAAAATAGTACAAGGTTTTATTCTGCTATAGGGATATATGCGATGTCTACAAAAAACAGTTTGCTTCGGTTTATTGGGGAGTTACAAATTAAAGATGCAAAATATATTCCTGTAAAATTTGTTGAATACTTTTATTATAGAACTATTTAATATACATACATAGATTACTAAACATTGACCAAATCAAAATATTGCATACAATAAAATGATAGTAATTTACGAAATATATTTATTTCTGAAATTTTTTAAAAGTTATAAGGGTGGGAGACATTCAATTTAAATTCATGTCAAATAATACACCCCACGTTTTTTAATTAAATTAATATTCTAAAAATAAATTCTTCCACATTAACAATTTTTGACAGTTTTTAGTAGATAACCGATAATATATGAAATAACTCCCAATTAATAGATAATGTTAATCGATTTAGCCTAAATATGTTTTGAGTTATAAAACTCACTAAATTGAACGGCTCAATGTGCCGTATGAGTTGGCGCAATATTTTTTAAATATTTTGCTCGTGGAGCATTAATAATATCAAATCAAAATAAATTTGTATCAATTCATGGGCCTCGTTGAGCGGCTAAATTTTAAGTCATATTTTACCATAAAAACTCGAGATTAGAGTCTAAAAACTCAACTTTTTATCAACACTATTAGTAGGTAAGGATTATCCCCGCTAAGGTGATAGATGTAGATATGAGTTTTTGAGGGGGGTTTACCTAAAATAAATTTTATGTCATGTAGGCGCTAGTTATAATTAACATGGTCGGTAAATTAGTTCCACATTTAAATATTATTTTAGGCGACATATATGTATATTTCTTTAAATAAAACCATGGCCCTTTCACTATGCATTTTTTTTACACAAATCTTATTTTCTTCACTAATTTTAAAATTTAGCAGTATACTTTTGAAATAATATTCACTAGCATCAGGCCTTCGTCCAAAACTAATATATACTAACACCGCTAGTGAACATCGGGCGAATGTCTTCTTCTTCTCTCCGTTTTATGGCGATTTCCAGGTTTACCCGGGTAGGCCAGTTTTCCCTCTGATTTTTCTTTTCCATTTTTGACGGTCCTGAGCATCAATACTTGTAAGATTCAAGCTTCTCATATCCGCCGCTATCACATTTGTCCACGTCATCTTGGGTCTTCCTCTAGGTCTTGATCCTCCTACTTCCATCATTGTGCATCTCTTTACCCAGTCATCTCTTGTCATAAGTTCCACATGCCCAAACCATCTTAGTCTATTTCGTCGCATTACCATACCAATCATTTCTATACCTAATCTTGCTCGCAATTCCTTGCTAGTTTTTCTCTCTCTCAGAGATACCCCACACATCCATCTAACCATCCTCATCTCTGTTCTTTCTAATTTGGCTTCGTGAATTGCTTTCATTGCCCATGTTTCACCGCCATAAACTAAACAACTCCTCACGCAGCTTACGTAAACTTTCCCCTTTAATTTCAGAGAAACTTTTTTATTTGTAAGAATAGACGACATCTCTCTGAACTTCTTCCAAGCTTGTCTGATCCTTGCAACAACAGCAGAATCTACACCACCATCTGCGTTTAGCATATCACCTAAATAACAAAACTTATCCACTTTTTCTAGGGTTAACCCATTGCCAATATCCAGACCACCATTTTTTAGGTTATCATTATTATGTATCCCTTTCATGCATGTTTTACAAATAAAGGTCATTCTTTCTAACATCAAACTGCCTTTTTTCCCACTACATCTTTTATGTACCCATTTCTGGCATCTGGTGCATTGGATAGAATTTCTAGCAACTCCTTTCCCACATACACCACAAGGCCACTTACCTGATTCTTCTATCTTTAGATTTTCCCCACCAATCATCACCTTTGTTTTTGATGCATTCATTTTCAGGCCCTTTGCTTCCATAGTCATCTTCCATTTACTAACTTTATCCCTCAATTCTCCCTCACTGTTTGCCATTAATACAAGGTCATCTGCATATAATAGCTCCCAGGGAAGTCCTTCACGCATTTCTTTAGCCACCACATCCATTACTAAGATAAATAATAATGGACTCAGCACGGATCCTTGATGAAGTCCTACCTTCACCTCAAAGCTGTCACTATCACCATAATCCGTCCGTACTGCTGTTTGTGCTCCAACATACATTGCCATCACTGCGGTAACTAACCATTCCTCCACACCGGATTTTCTCAAGGCCCATCTTGTAATCTCACGCGGCACCCTATCAAATGCTTTCTCCAAATCAACAAACGCATAATAGAGTTTCTTTTCCTTCGCAAGATACTTCTCCTGAATTTGTCTCACCACAAAAATTGCATCTGTCGTGCCTTTTCCCGATGTAAAACCAAACTGCATTTCATCAATTTTGATTTGTTCCCTTATCCGCTTTTCTAACACTCTCTCAAATACTTTCATTGCATGTTCCAAGAGTTTAATAGCTCTGTAAGACCCACAATCTAAAGGATCACGTTTCCCCTATGTAATTTCCTTTTATTTAAACTACATCTAAATAAGAGTATGGGCTAGTTATCGACATGGGTTTTACGTAGCATAAATCCATGCAATTCTTGAGGAGAGATTAATGAAACAAATATATCTTAATTTTTTGCTGGATTCATTCTAAGAATCTGATAACGCGATCAACTTTAGTGGAAAATTAAATATTAACGACCGAACAAAGAAAATTTTCCAAAACAAAAAATATGAGATTATTGATCCAACTACCGTCTCTCTATTTTCTTTGAAGATATTTATTTTTATATGTCCAACAAATTGTTTTACCCATAAAAGTCTTCACTGTTTTTTAGTGGCATATCCGATTTTGGAATGTTCTTTACGTTTATTTTGCAAATTTAATATGGTTAATTTAAATAGTCTTTAAAGCGTTGATTCCTCATGTTTGAATTTATTTATTATATTTTTGTAATATCCCCTTAGTGTTGTTAAACGGCTATAAATGACTAACCTAAAATTTT